GATCGATCTTTTAAAGGAATCGATCGCGATCACTCAGCAGTTTAGCGACCTAATTACTACTGCACGCAGGTCGCTGACGTTGCGTGCTGTGTCCGTATCATACTTATCACTACGCTTAACAAGCAGATTTCATTACAAAGAAATGCTGCTTGCTACCTTTTGAAACAAAACCGGATCGATTGAGCAATGATGCGTACTTACCGCAATTGCTCAATGGCCCGAACGAAATTAGAACTAAATTTCACAACAAGACATATTCTTGCGATACAATTGTGTATACATGTATAAATAAATAAATAAATAGACAAATAGATGTAGAAAGTTTCAGTAGCGAACTAAAATCGATTCTTTCTAGAGCAAATCCACTCCTTATGTAAAGCGACTTTGCGATTTTCTTGATGTATCTGGAAAACTACTGAGAATATTGAAAAATGTTTTATACAAAAGTTTTATGGTAAGATTATTTCTATTTATTTCCATTAATAACATTGTTCAAGAAAATTTTTTTATACATTTAGAAAAACATTTTCTGTTTAAATAATTTGTTTTTTAATATGTTATTATAATTAAATAGAGGACATTTTTTAAGAAAACGTTTGTATAAAACATTTTTTGATATCGTCTATAATTGTCAAGATACAGTGAAAAAAGTAAAAAGTCGGTATATGTATAAGGAGTGACTTCATCCCGTAAAACCGTTTTTGAGCCGCAACAAAATACGTCGACATTCATCTATTGACCTCCCCTACATGTGTGCAAAGTTTCATCAAAATCAGAATTTTCCACTTCACGAAGTTCCCTTGTAAGTAAAGTACAGTGCTCCTTTTCTTATTTGTCACTCTGTAATTTTTAGCTTTTCCTTATTTAGAGGAGAAGTTGTTCTCCCACTTCTGCTTAGCATTGACTTGGTGGGATATACGTATAGTGGTGATTGCCTTAGCGTCCGTCATCCCCACCAATTTATCTATTTCGCTCGCACTCATTTCTTTTTTCTCGCTCAGTTGAATTTGCTCATAAGCGTCTGGGCACTTTCTTTCTTTGAATAGAATGGAGAGAGAAGTAGAGAACAAAAGAAAAAAAATACGGATGTCTTATTGGTTTTCACTCTACGTAAGGAGGAAAAGTGCCCGGCAAGGACACTACTGTTGCGCGCATACAAAACCTTCATATTATTACTCGGGACAATGACCGTGACAACATATGTAAAAATTATTGAAATCGGAGGTGGCTCCCCTATTCTGCATAATTACCTTTACCTCGTCACAGAACGTACGATACAACAACAACGGAGCACCAACAGTATTACCAGTTACGCTTTAAGACGGATTTTCAAGAAACATTTGTACTCTTTTAATAAAGAATTCTACCTTTCTATCCGAACATTCCCGAACCTTCTTCTCTCTTTTTACACAAACTCCTAAAAAATCAAATACACATTTAAAAAATAAAACATTTATAAAACTTTATAGGGTCATAAATCATGTCACACTTCTATCCCTTTTAGTGGGCGTGGCCAAACTGAAAGGAAAGGGGAAACCACTCTGGTGGGGCAATGGCGTCAGTTGGGGTGGGAGAGCCAGATGTTTTGACGCGCTATAATGAGCTACATACTACTTACAGGGTTTTACTTATTATAGCTATCTGATTATTACATATAACTAACTCACTTAATACACTTAATAATATGAGTTTTAATATGTGTTGACTATTGCACATGTTTCATCACATCACAGATTTTTCAGAGTGAAGATGTTACGTTACGCGCGCAGACTACTGGATCGAACACAATCGAGATGTTACAACAGACCCTGAAAGCGCTGTTACAATTGACTCCCACTGATCATCTTTTGTAAATACATATATTGAATGAAACTTGCATCATAATTTATATTAAAAAACGCTGAATATTACTTATAACAAATCAAACTATTAGAAAAAATGTTTTATTATTATGTGCACAATATAAAATGTTATTAATAATTTTCTACAGAGTAGAAAAAAAACGTTTTTATACTAAGAAAATTGAATAACTTTATTATAATAATTTTAAGTTAACATACAAATTCAGAATTTTCGTTAACGTAAGAACTCATAATCAGGAAAACATAATTTAAAACAAAAAAAAAATTTTTTCAACTTTATAATATTTTTTTATTGATTGTTACAATTGCCCCATGTTACAATTGACCTTTTTCATCCTTACTTATGTTTTTTCTTATGAGAGAATACATTAAATTTTTCTATTTATTGTAGTAATCACCTTAGAAATTCTCAAAATTGTCACGTGATTTCCTTCGACGTACTGTATCGTTACATCAGATGTTATCTAGAAAACATTATATGCATCATTGTATGTATCACATCTACAAATTCTGATAATACTGACAAGTCTGATGCAATATATATCAGAAATTATAATAACTTTTGTGACATATCTTATGTAAACCGTAATCCTCGTCGGCTTCAAGCACAGAAGAATGTGTAGGTTTCAGCAAAGTTATAGGCAATTTGATACGTGGTATAGCAGAAGTATCATATTTCTGAAGAATAAGTACATGTTTATACACTGTTGTATACAGTGTCCTCAAATTTGCAAGCGAGAGCATTGAGTTATGAGCTAAAAAGTGTTTTGCAAAAATATCAAATTTTTTGTCGTTATTTTTACACTTTTGCAATTCCATCAAGAAGTCCTGCGCGACAGTATAAAAAATCAAATCATTATATTAAATATGTAAAGTACATTATATCAATGTATTATATTAAAAAACACCTTTTTACTTATTTCGATGTTATAACTTTTCAGAATACCAATCAACATAGAAACTTAGGTAAATGTACAGAATAAAGGAGCCCCCTCCGATCGGCTTCTTGTTTTGATACATTGTAAATATGACCTTCCAGAGTACGTTTCTAAAAGTTTTATCCGTCGCTCATTGTTTATAAAAAAGTTATGAACCAAAAAAGTTTGAT